AAGCCACTTCTCTTTAACACCTCCTCTAGGAACTGCCCATCATTTATCATAGGCTTTCTGCCCATCATTTATCATAGGCTTTCTCTAAATTCTACTTACAAACCCAACATTTTCTTCTAGATTCTCTCATTTCAACACATTCATTTGCTATAAGAATCTGATTGACAATTTGTCCATCTTGCACAAATGTCCCTTGATTCCGAGAGTCTAATGAGAGAAGCATGATTGTAGGGTTTCCCCACAAGACTAATTGTTTTGAAAGCCTTTGGGTGGATGCCTTGTTCTTCTTGTAGATGAGAGCAATAAAAGTGGCATTAGCTCCCATGTTGATAATTCCTCTCTCATAATATTCCTCAAACACTTCCATCAGATCATCATTTATTACATTCTATGCTTCCTAGGAAAACACCATTGAAAATCCATTTTGGTCTAGGTTGTTATGAAGTATGAAAATGGTAGGAAAATAGTGGTTACAGAAGGAGGGAAGATAAGGGATTCTCCATCTAAATCATGTTGACTGGAAGAGTTATGACAACCTACAAAACATAAAGGTTGGGGAAGAAGTGTTGTCATGGCATGATCAAAGCAAGGACAAAAATCAGGAGTGGATCTCACCACATAGAGTATTTTTTGACTAAGGGTCAATCAATTAACAATATAGCCGAAGATGAGAAGAGAGGTCAAGGGGAAGAAGGACATCTTGAAGGAAACACAATGATCGGGAGGCAGGGGATACCTGAAAGGTTGGTGGAGAGCATGACAAACAAATCATAGGAGTGAAAACTTTGGAAGTTATTGCTCAATTGAATAGTAAGGTAAGCAGTAAGCTCGAGTTCTCTATTCTCTCCATCTTCTCCACCTTCCAACTGGTTTGGGAGTCTTTGATAGGGAGGGAGATAAGAGGGGACCTGGGTATGATGGTGTAGATGAGGGGGGAAGAAGATTTGGGGAAGATCAACACAGGGTTTACAATAAAAAGAAAAGGATGGTGGTACAAGGAGCTATATGGGTTGGGGTTGAAAGAAGAGAGGAGATAGTGGGGCTCAAAGCTAAAGAAGTTATAGGGGAAGATAACATTGAGAAAGCTGAATGGAAACAAGGGAGGGGGGAGAGGAGACAGTGGGGGTCGAAGTTGAAGTGGTTACAGAGGAAGATAACACTGAGAAGGGGAAGGTGGGTATTGATTGGCTAGTGGGCAGACAAGGGTCAATTGGGAAGTCTCTTGTCCTTTTTCTTTCTAGGGGGGGGGGGGGGTAGGGGTGGTGAGGAAGGCAATTGAACACTATGAAAAACGTAGAAGGGAAGAATATCACAAAAAGAAAGCAGTTGCGGAAGGGGGTGAGGTATGGGAGGAAGGAGAAGGGAAGGAAGAAGAAATTGTCAATGAAGAGTAAAGGAAGGTTGCTGAAGAGTTAACAGGGAAGGGGGAGAAGGCTGAAAGTAAAAGATGAAGCTGGTATCATGGAATGTAAGGGTACTGAGAGAAGAAATAAGAAAACTGTTAGTAAGGAACATGTTGAGAAAACACAACCCAGACATGGTGCTGCTGTTAGACAGTGTATGCTCTTAGCTCCAATCAGATTGATGTACAGATACATTTATTGTAAATGAATAAAAGTACATTATTGTTTCATGTTGATATCGGTATGTTTCTGTGAAATTACCCCTTAAACTGGACACTTATGAGACTCATGTTAGTTTAGAATGTTTTCAACCATTGGAAAGACTTCGGGAGTTTATCTTGCCAAGGGTGACACTGATGTGCTGCCAAAGAAGTTGGGGCAGCTTGTCTTAGCTGCTAGGGTTAGACCTAAAGCACATGCAGTGTGTGTTTGGATGGAATTGAACTCGGACCATTTCCAATTATGCCTTGGACCTTGGAGACTGATGGGCAAAACTAGAAAGTTACACATAACCCCTAGACTTGGTTATGGTACTGCACTTGGTGTTGGATTGGGCTATCTTTGATATTCCAATCAGTGAAATCCATTGAGGGTCAAAACCTGGGTATGTTGGGGTAGTCTAAGAATTCATTTGAGTGGGTGATCATAGTGATAGGATCGGCCCCTTTGTCAGACAAAGTAAATGATAGGGCTTACACTCTCTCTGATGGAAACCTAAACTGTCGGTAGTGGATTTCAACTGTGTTTGAGATTTGGTTTTGCAAAATATATTTATATGATGTATATATATATATTAATGTTTTATGAAAAATTTTTGCAAAAAGGTTTTAATTCTCGGGATCCATCCGAACAGAGAGTGTGACACTGTACCTTGTAGCCAGGGGAGAGGTCCTTCCCTATCGGGCAGTGTTGTGATCATTATGGGCCGAGAGGTTAAGTGTAAGAGACCATTAAGGGCTGATTATCTGATGGTCTTTATCTTACTTAAGTCCATTATCCTTGGGTCTTCATAGGATGGCTGAATTCAAGAATCATTTGTGTAAATGTTGTGCCGGGCTCACTATGTTTAGCAGTGAAGTTGGCCAAGCCTTTTCACAGAGGCTCGACCAAACCCATGTGGACTTATGTGAGGTTATTGTGGGGTCCCACGCCATATAAATCAGGCCTAAGTTGGCCATGCAACATCTTGGGTCATGAGCCTTTGATGAAAGTGGGCCTAAGGCCCATAATTAATAAGATTAAGTAAGTTATCACATGACAAAGTTGTCATGTGCTCTAGGTCGAATATGGGTTTGGAAATGGGTATGGATTAACCATCCTCTTAAGAGGATAAGGCTTATCTCTTAATAGAGTCTAGATCCTAATTAGATTTGGATAACATCTTAATTTGATTAGGAGAACTGCTCCATAAAGAGATAAAAGAAGAAGAGGGCGAACCAGACTAGAACACCACTCTTTCTTGTTCTCTCTTCTCTCTTCTTCTCTTTTGTCTTCCAAGAAACCCTATCACGACCTAGGCTTTCAAGGACTGATATAGATAAGTTTTCTTCTGATTTTTGCACGAAAAATTCAGAGGAATTTCGGGCTCACCTTCCCCAGTTCGATCCAAGCAATTGGGTTGCAATTTTGCTAAAAACTGTGTTGCTAAATCAGCTTCACCTATACACTGCGCCATCTTCAGTGGAGGCTGGTTTTAGGACTGATTTGAGCGTGAACTTCCACCTTGGGATCTACGTTTGTGGTATCCATATCAGGTATAAATCTCCCTCTTTGTTTGGTTTCAAATATGGTCTGATTCAGTACAAGACCGATCCTGAAAAATGCAGTTTTTCAAAACATAGGGAATTCGATTCCTAGAAGGATTGGGAAATTTTTGAAAATTTGCCCAGCCATCTAGCATGGTTCGGTCATCCATATGATGGATCCTAACCCTTCCAACAACTGTTGCAAGAGTTAAAGCTAGATTCAATCTTGGGGAAGTTTGGGGTTTCAAATTTGTAATTTGGATAACTTATGCGAATTGTCTTCAGGCTAATTCTAATATTTTAGTTTGACTGGAGGTGTTGCCTTAACTCCTGGCTTGGTTGCATCATTTTTTCCTTTTTAGTGAAATTTTATTTTTACTATAAAAAATCCATTTTGGCCCAAGGTCTTGTCTCTATTCATGCTAAAGGCCGCCATTAACACCTTTTTTTAGTACTCCTTGAACTCTAGCCCTAATTTAACTCTCATCAACCTATCCTAGACCTGCGCTAAACTCCATAATCCCAAACCTTGGACTAACTCTCAAAACATAATTTCTTTTTCAGTTTTCCCTCAAACTTTTAACAGTCCAACCTTGGGTAACACCAGTCTTACATAAATTTGGTATCAAAATAATCATATAAGAAATGATTTGAGTGCTAATAGTTAAACAGAACAGAATGGCGAAACAGGATTCATGTAGCCAACCCCACGTAGTTGGGATAAGGCTTGGATGATGATGAGTAGTTGGTCCTACATCAGTTAGTAATATAATAGCCAGTCCAACGTCAGTAACTCTTGCCCCTTGCATTTCCATCTTTAGGTAGTATGGTAACTTAAAAAAAATCGATGAATGCTTTTACTAATCTGAAACACATAATAGGTTTCCTTGCAACATTGTTAATAGGTGAAATTTCTTCCTTTCAGCCACAACTTATCTTTTATGGTGTGAAAAAAGAAGATAAAGGAAGGTACCCCCCTAATTATGCATACATGTGCATATGGCTGTAACTGTGTATGGTTGCAATGGCAGCAGGAACACTGATGATGACTCTTCTGTGTTTCTATTACAATCATGGATGTATACTCAAGGTTCAAAGTATCAATACACCCCGATATGCCACAAGGATGTATTGACACTTTGAACCTTGCGCATGTATATTTTCTTTTAGTTTTTTTTTTTTTTTAAATATGCCAGGGGGTTGGTTTAAAGGCTGTTTAACATTTAAAAACCAAAATTTTGGGAAAATCCTTGAAAGCATATCAACTACCTGCCAATATGATATGACATGCATGATACGGGGCATATTGTGTCAAAATTTTTAACCTTGTGTATGTCTATGGTAGTTGGCTATGGTGGTTACAACAGCAGCATCTCTCTCTATTTCAGGGAAATAAACATACAGCATCTAGTGGCTGGCAATAACCTCTTTTTTTTTAAAAAGCTTTGCTCTTCCTATTGCATAATATGTATTGTCTTAAGACACTTTATTGTATTTACCTGGTTCAAGTGGTTTTCTGCTTTTAATCATTTCGGTTTTGGTTCCTGGGTCTGTTGGTCCAGCTTTCACAATATTGATGAATATGGTCCTCATGAGTATCATACATAGGTTATGATGCCATTGATCCTGCAACCAATGAATTCCATGTGGTAACTGGTGATTAGCCTACAATCATTTTGATAAAGTAGCATTATTCCATATTTCCTTATGTGTTTATGTTTCCTGTGAGTTATCTATTAGACTAATTGAATAGGTCTATGTTAGTACTTTGACAGTGGATCTCTTGTTTTGAAACCTCTGACTTTTTTGTTGTTAACTTTAATGCGTCCTGCAAACAATACTTGCTTTCCAGGTGCATAAACGTATGGAAGCTCCAATCTATATCTACTATCAACTTGACAACTACTACCAAAATCACCGAAGGTGACTATTCATTTTCCATGTGATTGTTTCCATGTTTTTGGTTTCTTCCCATGACAAAGTTGATGTTGGACCAGCCAAAGTTTTAAAACTGCTTATCTTATTCCTTCTCAATGTATGTGGGAATAGGGTTGATGAGTGGATTCTGAAACATGGTTAAGTAGGTCTTAATGTAGGTTTCAGGTTAAGAGAAACGAGGATGTGCATTCAGGTAATGTTTTTTATATGATACTGATGCCAATAAGTATCTGATATGTCAACCTTTAAACATCACTGCATCAGAGGAGTCTTAAATAAAAATGAATTACGTAGCTGATCTAAATTACAATTAACTAAGAAAATTAAAGAGAAGCTTGAAATCGAAGTATTGGTAACATTGGATGTGTCCTTTTTCATGACATTTTATCTAAGAGCAACAAGCTGTAGCATCTTCTGTTGATTTCAGCTTGGAGCATCACCAGCATGTTAGAACTTAGAACTAGTGTAATGACAAGTATGATAAAGTGTTAGCATGGATAGATTCACTTTTGTCAAGGTTTCATGTAAATGCTTCTTTTTGGTTGATGTAGAACAGAAAGGAGAGATGCCCCTACTAGGCTCTATGTAGTAGGTAAAGAAAGAATTCAGATCTGATATAGAGGAATGAAAGGGGAAATACAAGAGTTACAGATCTGAAATGTAGAAGAAAAAAATTAGAAAGACCTCCACTTTAGAGAGAGAAAAGAAAAACCACTCCAAAGTCCGAACATTTGGCACCACACAAATTTCATATGACTGGAACTATTTAATTTCATCATACTTCTAAAAATGCAATTACAAGGACTCAATTTTTAGACTCAACACTAGGGCTCAGATCCTCCTTTACACTACAGACTTCAATTTAGACTTGTAAACAAGGCCTTGTTTCTTGTTCTTCGCCTGAATTACTGTTTGACAAGGTTGGAATGGCTGGATCAGGATCCAGATTTTGGGTTTCAGTGAGACAGGAATTGCTGGTTGTGTGCAGCATCTGGTAGTAGGCTGTTATTTTTGAAAAATATAGCCAGCTGAAAATGGAATTAGATGAAAGACAAGGTATGTTATGGGATAAGGTGTAAAAGTGCTAAAGCTTTCTAAAAATAGAATATGATGAACAAAAATGGGCCAGTAGAAGTAACCTTAACAGATCTCTAAGTAGAGATGGACCAATCAGAGCTCACACCCAAAGTCAGAAGTCATCCAAATTGTTAGGATCTTTTCTTAAACACTCTCCTGTCTCACTGAAAGAATAGAAAAAAGGAGAGAACGAAACAAGGATACTTGTAGGGAAGGCAGGGCTATAATGCTTCGGAAGACCTTGAAATAGCTGACATAAGCAACCTTTCATGCATCTGCAGTCTAAAACTACTTTTCATATAGTCTCTTATAAATCTGCCTAGATGCATTGAAGTTTTCCTAGAAAATTGAAGGAAAAAGCAAATTTAGATTGGATTGCATAAGACTCAAAAGGTGTTCTGAAGCCCTGGATCTGCTAACAAACTAATAGCCTATCAAGAGTAGGATCTGTTTGGTGTCAAAGGTTCTTAGTAAGCTAGTAGAGCTCCGAGTTCCTTTATGGTCGCTTTCACAGGATTTTTCATTGTATGATAGTCTTGCCATATACCTAATATGTCCACCCATTAATATTCTAAATATTGTCCTATTTGATCTGGCTATAGTGGTTCCTTTCAGAAGGCTAAACTTTAACTTTGTTTTTTTCTTGAATGTCTCTCCTATTGCTAATATTCTAGCAATGGTATTTATGTCCATTTTTAACAATATATATTATTTTCTAGATATGTCAAAAGTAGAGATGAATGGCAACTCTTATATGGGCTGAAATACAATGATACAAGTGAAACAGAAATGGCTGGTTGTGTGGGGTATATGTGGTAGTAGGTTGGTATTTTTGAAAAAGATAGCTTGCTGAAAATGGAATTGGATAAAAAACAAGGTATTGTGATGGAGTTGGTTTAAAGATGCCAAAGCTCTCTGAAAATAGATTACTGTGAACAAAAACAAGGCAGTAGAATTAGCCTTAACAGATCTCTAAGTAGAGATGGACCAATCAGAGCTAACATCCAAAGTCAGAAGTCATCCCAATTGTGGACAATCTCTAGTCTCACTGAAAGAATTAAAAAACGGAGAGAAAAAAACATACAAGTCCATTGCCTAATTACACATTTACACTTCATTCTCCCTATTAATAAGTTCTTAATGACCTGTTACCAACAAAAAACAACAAAAACAATGCAAAGAAAACACTTCATTCTCTCTATTACACATTTTACTGCTTCTGAAGATCTTGAAATAGCTGACATAAGCCACCTCTGATGCTTCTGAAGTCTATGACTACTTTTCTTTAATCTAAATCTCTTATAAAGCTGCCAAGATGCATTGAAGTTTTCCTAGAAAACTGAAGAAATAAACAAATACAGACTGGATTGCATGAGACCCTAAAGGTGGCATGATGAGCCTTGGATCTGCTAACAGTCTAAGTGCCTATCAGGAGCTGGATCTGTTAGGTGTCAAAGGTTCTTTGTAGTAAGCTAGTAGAGCTTTCAGTTCCTTTTATGGTTGATCTAATAGGATTCTCTTTGTATGATAGTGTTGCCATACACTGTGGGTAATCTGGACCCCTCAGGCATTGGAGATGTTTTGAAAAATGAAGAAGGCAAGTTCTTGCAATTTATTCAGGTCCAATTGGGTTAGGTGATTCATTAAGGGCTGGTATTTTGGCTGTTTTGGAAGGTGTACAAAGGGCAAGGGATATGAATATTAGCAAGTTGATTATTGAAGGTGATTCCAAGTTGGTGGTGGACTGGTTGCAAAAGGAGGAAAACAATTTCTGGAGATACAGCAATGAAAGAAGTTCAAGAAATCAACACAGGGCATCGAAGTAAGGCTGCATTGGGTTAATAGAAGTGCTAATTCATTTGCTAATGTAATCTATCAAAAAAAAAATCATTTGCTAATGTTCTAGCAAATCAAGGGGTGGGTAGAGACAATCATTTTTGGGCTCTGTTGTATTATGTATTTATGTAAGAAGTGTTGGGGAGAGTTAAGAGAGATTATTTCCCCTTTTTTGATTGCTTGTACTCCTTATTGATTCTTAATGAAATTTCACAGCTATCGATAAAAAAAGTCTTGCCATACACCCAATATGCCTACTGTGTTTCTAAATATTGTCCTATTTGACCTCGCTATAATGGTTCCCTTCAAAAGAATACGCTTTAACTTTGTTCTTCTTTAATGTCTCACCTATTCCTAATATTCTAGCATAGTATTTTCAGTCCTTTTTTAAAAATATTTAATTATTTGCCAGATATGTCAAAAGTAGAGATGATCGCCAGCTCTTATATGGTCTGAAGTACAATGACACTAGTTCCTGCAAACCTGAGCAATCCAACAATGGGCTCCCAATTGTCCCTTGTGGGTTGATAGCATGGAGTTTGTTCAATGATACGTTTACTTTTGTTCGTGAGGCAGCACAATTGAGGGTTAACAGGAAGAATATTGCCTGGAAGAGTGATCGGGATCACAAGTTTGGGAAGCATGTATATCCCTTCAATTTCCAGAATGGAACCTTGATTGGTGGTGGAAAGCTAGATCCAAGTATTCCTGTGAGTTAACTTTTTTTTTTTTTTGGATTGGTTTTAATATTTTCTTATTTTTTTTACCAGTTTGGACTAAATTTGTTGAATTGTTCTTTGAGAATTTGTATCTTAAAAGCAAAAAGAAAGCTTCTACTTTTGAAACTGTTAACCATTTTATCCTTAGAGCTGTAGACCATCTTACTTAGCAGAGCCATAAAATATTTTTTCCACATTGTTGGCAATCAAATTGTTGCTAAAATTCTACTTTCTGGCTGATTTTGTTACGTGGAGTGATTCTGGTGGAAATGATGTTATTTGTAGGAGTTTGTAGGTGTTGAAGTATCATAAGAATTATTTGATATTTGTTCAAGGGTTATTTGCATTAGGGACTGTACCACTTCCATAGAGATATGGTAGTTAGGTACAGCTTGGGGCTCTGGATTTACCGTATTATGGGTCTCATCTAATAAATTCCTATACCAGAAATCAACCCATACATTATTGAAGATGTCTGCAAAATGTTGAAAGTAGTTTAGGAAAAGTTTCCTCTTGGTTGGTCACAAGCGCCAGAATGTATAGAAGATAACCCTCTTTGTTTGCTCTTTTCTTATTGAATTCTTCTTTTTTGTTTTGGCTTTTTTATATGCTTTCATCTCAAGTTCTCATAATTAGTTTTTACCTCCCTCTATTTTTATTTTCTTATCTTTCTGATTATTTATTTCTCTCTTTTTTTTTTGGTGTCCTCGGGGGGTATTATGTAAATCAGCTAAGTGATCAGGAGGATCTAATTGTTTGGATGCGTACTGCTGCTCTTCCTAGCTTCCGGAAATTGTATGGAAGAATTGAAGAGGATCTAGAAGCAGATGACATAATAGTAGTAAACATCCTGAACAATTATAATACTTACAGTTTTGGGGGAAAGAAGAAACTTATTCTTTCAACGTCAAGCTGGTTGGGAGGAAAGAATGACTTCCTTGGGATGGCCTATATTGCTGTTGGTTCGTCCTGCATATTCATCTCCCTTGTCTTCATGCTACTCCATGTGAAAAATCCTAGGTAAAGCTCCATATGTTCATGGGAATCTATGCTTATATATTTCTCTCTCTATGTTGAACTTTATATCAAAATTATATTGTAGCACATTTTATGATGATAGAGTGATGGATCTTTTTTCTTTTGAACAACTTTGTGTTCCAAAAAATTAATGGACACGTGCATCTTTGCGGTTATTTCTTTAAGATATTCATATTATTGAGTTCTTGCACAACTTGTATGGTTGCCTATTGTTAAATAGGTGAATGCAAAGCTTCCATTTTGATAATTTGTCAATGTGAGACCTTGAACGTTAGGCTATCGGCCTTTTGGTTGAAATGAACAAGTTGGCATTCGAGGTCCCACATGCCACATTGACTAATTATGATGGAAGCTTTGAATTCAACAATATAGCAATAGAAAACCGTGGAAAATAAATTATGAATTTTTACATGAGTTGACTCATGGACATGTGTTGACTTGTAAATCTTTATCAAACATGGGGTGTCCATGCAAACTTATTTGTATATAAATTCATATTCTATTTTGTAAAATATAATATATGTATAAAAAACATATATAGTATATATTCTAAGCCAGGTTAGGTTGGGAATGATCAGCCCTAATTGAAAGACTTAGGCTCAGTTTGGAAGGAGTAAAAATACAAATACGTAGAGTGCAAAACCTTGTATTTTGTATTATTTTGCATGTATTTGTACTATACATACTTGTATTTGTACTCTTTACAAACTGAGACCCTTAAGTACAAACACCATAAATGCAAACAGTTCTAACCATTCCAAATTCCTACTTGACCATACCTATAAACCCTTTTTGGCTTTGCTAACCAGGTCAAAATTGTTTACCAGAAACTCTCATTGTAAAATTTTTTAGATACTAATCTAATTATGGAAATAATATCCTTGTTCAATTCAGACTGGTTGGCTTCTCATGGTACTCAACTGACATTTTGTTGAGAAGCACATCTACTGATGAATACACAGGCAGTATTACATTGGTGTTCAGCATTGATGTCATCATATTCAGACATCTAGCATGTCAAACTCTAGAAACACATGCCCATTAAGAAATAATAAATTACCTATTTGACAAAGTAGTAAGAATTTTAAATTTAAATAGAACCTTGAAAATTCAAATTGTTGGAAGTGAAATGGATATAGTAGAAAGCCTTATGTGCTGATTCGGCCAAGCTTCTTGTGAAAGGAAGAGGAGAAAGTTGGGGGTTTCAGCAATAGACAGAGGAAAGGGAAGAAAAGGAGAAGGTCGACTAGGATAGTGATTCATAACCCTAGCCGCGAGCCCCTCATTCTATTTATAATTAACTTAAATATGGGATATTACAAAGATGCCCCTAGTAGGGCGGCAACTCAAACTAAGTACTTACAATTCTTTTATAAATAAAAAACTAATGGGCCCAAGGCCCAACAACTTCTTAATTTAAAAGAAAACAAACTAAACATAAATCGGCCCACTCAACAGATATTTCTCATGACAGTTTAGTGACAACAATTTTTTCTTTGGCTTCATCATGGAGCATCATCATCTTGTCAGAAGTTTAACATGATGTCCAAATACTGACTCAGCTAGACCCACCAATTTAAGGTGTCCTGTAACACTGTTTAGAAGAAGGTTCATTATGTAAAAAGGACCTTTGGATCATCATTTGTTTTCTTGGTCTGACTTAGTATGTTCCATCAAAAGAAAAAAAAAAAGAACAGCAAAATATTTCATTTGTTAAACTATTATTTTCACCCTTCTAATGCTGAATACTTGGCTTTGTTGCCAGTTATTTGAAGACTTGCCTGATTTATTATATGTTGTTTGTTTTCAGGCCTTATGGAGACATAGCTTATATATCTTGGAACAGGAAAAGTAATGCTAGTTAAAAGCTGTTGTTGCATCAAAAAGAATTTTGGTGGATCTGGATTCTGGAAAAGGTTATATCCTCTCCTCCAAACAGATTCATTGGAATTTTTCTAAGAAAATTATGGGAAATTACATAATGGGAGATTGTTATACAAAATTACAAAGCAACAGCTAACTAGATTGCTAATGGGGAACTGTTCAGTATTTTCAAATAAAGAGGCAATATCCAGTTGCATAGAATTAATTATTTATTCAAATTAGGATTAACTATATTTTGAATACTCCATGTTTTTAAGTTAACCAATTAAACCAGAAGTTAGAATATTGATACAAGGCAGGACATCAAAGATTCCTTTATGAAAACTTAGGATTTGAGAAGGGGAAAATTATGGATAGTGATAACTTTTGGCTTTGTCTTTATGAGAGAAGCTTAAAGGAAAACAGGATATCAACATTAGGTCAGTTGATCAACAGGTGTAGAAAGTACTTTGAGATTTTAAATGGACAAGATGATTGTTGTCAGGGGATGGTTGTATCTGCATATGGTAAGGATGAAGGGAAGATGATCATAATCATCATTGTTGACATTGTTGTCACCGCTATCACCATTACCACTGCCATTACTGCTATCTTTGATATCATGGAGTATGGACACATTATCTGAATTATTTTGATGACGGCTACACACATCCTCACTCTCTAATTGGGAAATGAAGTCTTCTTATCTTTTCACACTGACACATTCCATGTTTTTTGTGGCCTTCTTCTCATGCTGGAGTCATAGGACATATGGACCAAAAAGCAGCAGGTTCTGCAGCCCTTAGACAAAGGCTTCTGAGTTAGCTCTTTTTTATTTTTTATTTTTATTTTTTATGTTTATTACGAAAGGGGCTGCATAGCTATATCTTGAGATAGGGTTCATAGCACTTTTTCTTGTTATATTGAACTAGGAAATGTCAAGGATGATTAGAATGAAGTATGTCATAAAAAGTTCAGTCTGCTATTTAAGTAAAAACTGTTAGTGACTTTTTATTAACTAATCCAAGAACTCAGACTGTTGTATTTCAGAAACAGATAACAATAATAATAAACAATCCTAACATGAATGCTATGAATCTTTGTTCTGTTCGGATTTTTCATCTAAACCTTCTACAGGTACTACTATGGTAGACACTATTGACAGAAGAGAGGCACATTCTAGTGTTCTGTTCTTTTTAAATTCTATATTAAAAAAATATAGTATGGGATAAAATGGACTTTTGGGATCATTTGCTTTTGATGTTTTCTTCTTCCTATTAAGCATTAGCTTTTCTAGAACCAACATGTGATCCAAAGCTATGTTTGGTTTGACAGAAAGTAAGAGAGAAACAGAAAGTTGAGGGAAAATTGTTAAGAATTTTTATCTCCAAATGCACCATAATCTGTTGCTTCATCTGGTTTACTGGGTGCATCCAATATACAACACCACTAAATCCTATAAGGGGAAAATTCATTGTTCTATAAATGTCAGCATGAAGTGTGTCATAATGCACTTGATATATGCTAGAATTGAATACAGCTTCCTTGATATTTACAAAGTCCCTTGTAAAATTTTCCACGCAATGGAGATCCCTGGTGTTTTAAAGAAATAATTTTAGAACTACATGAGGTTTGTTCATGATGTCATGATATTTTGGCCAATATACCCCAAATATTGACATTGCGCATACAACTGCAAGAAATAGAAAATTTGTTGTAGATTTGTTTAGTTTCATGTAAAAAGAGCTATGATGACCAAAAGAACCCATTTTCACTATAAAACGAAAAAAAAAAAAAAAGGAACCATCAATCACCAATTTTTTTCTCTTTTTTCCTGATTCAATAAGAAAGGGAATATCTTTTAAAGAATAAGGAGGAAAGATACTAAATGTGATAAAAGCTGAATTTGGGACTTGTATGAACCTCAGAAGGCTAAACTAAAGGAAAGGGAATAAGAAGATTGACCGAAATTTCTTCCCTTTTTCTTTTTTCTTTTTTTTTTTGGCTTGTAGCTTGTATGTATTTTTAACAAGTTTAGGAGAAATAAATATATTCAACTTCAGTTGCTTGAAATCACTAAGCTTGGGAAATAAATTGCTACTGAAAGCATTCAGATCTATGTAAGAAAATCAATCTCTTCTGGTAATTTCTTGATTAAAATGTTGGAACTTTAAGGGCTGGCATCTCTGAGGAGAGACTTTAGTAACTAATGGGGTGTAGGGCTCATGTGGCTGGAGAGTTGCCAATGCTTCACTCATCTAATGAGCAGTCTGCAATTCCACCTCCATTGAGCTGAAATAAAAGAGCATTCATGCAGAGATGACCTACTTAGAAGTTATTGCAATTTATTTGCAATAGCCCTTTAAGTACCTGTCCTCGTTCCTAGTCTTGAACAGGTTTTTTTATTTATAATACTTGTCTTCAAGGTGATTGATGATATATTTTGTTTCAGGAGTTATGCAAATGGCTGATAACTGATTATGGAAGCCTTTATTCTACAACTAGCTGCCAGCAAATTGCCCAGACTAACAATTTTACAGTCCAGACTGCTCATAATTTACTTTGGTCAGGAATCCTGAAGAGGTAAATGGGGAATGGCCAGAACCAGAGCAACCATGATAAACCACTAATTCTCACTTCTCAGGATTACTTTCTTATATTGAAATATAGTTTGTATTTGTATGTATATATACACCACAAAATGACAATAAAGCTATGTCATTTGTATTGTGGCTATACATCTTTACCATATAAAAAGTGCACATGCATATTTTATTGATCAATATACAATCAATTGATAAAAACTCTTCAGTTCAAGAAAGAATGGGAGATGTTTGCTAGTTTTTTTTAATCACTTGGGGAGAGAATAGGGATGGAAAATTTGTGGGTTTGGGACGAGTTCGGGTTTTATTCTTAGGGTTTGGGACTAGACCCATCCTAACCCTAATAGGATCCACTTATCAAAACCCTATAAGGTTTGGGACGAGTTCGGGTTTTATTCTTAGGGTACCCCATAAACCCAAATCCATTTATATTTAACAAGGGTGCCCACTCCCATTTACTTGATTATAAAGCTGTGCATGTATTATGGAAATTATATGATACCGGAAAGACATGATATTAGAAGAGCTTTAGATGGTGTTTGGTTTCGTTGCTGTTTATCTGAAAAATGGCGCCACCTTAGTGTCACATAGGTGTTTCCCCTGAAACACTGTTTGGTTAAATCGTTTATTAAATAAACATTTGCCTTTGTTTTGAGTGAGAGCCATTTGTTGGGGGAAGCTTTTTTTTTTATGTTTCCTCTTAACATCCAGGCGTTCTTTCACTATTCAGCTTATGTGGCGCTTAATGGCGTGCATCTGTCAAAAAACATCAAAAAACGTTTTTCAACTGTCTTTTCTAATTGGGTCTGACTATGATATGGAAAACCATATCATATCTAAAACCCCTGCTACTGCCATGTATACAGCAGTTACCGGAATTATTTAAGTAATCGATAATTATTTTTTTTTATATTTTAATTAAAATTTAAAACACTCTTTAACCTATCCGTTAAGAATCCTCCGTTACCCATTCTTATCTCTTTCTAGTTCTCTCTTCTGGTTGAACTTCTCCCTCTTGAAATCGTAAATCCACAATGCCTTCAATCAGCATCCAAGAGGTTATTCACCTCCCTCACTCTCTACCACAGGTGTATTCTTCTTCTTCTTAAAGAGAACCGATACCTACATATGAATAAAAGCAAGTGAAAGATATCTTAAGAAAAATAAAAATGGAGAACCAAACAGAGAGAAAGGCTTACGAATCACATATGTACTAGGATCACGTAATAAAACACCTACAAAACTACTAGTCCAGTAGTCCTGATCATATTGTCTGAGCCAATATGACCCAATCCAAAATAAATCCTGATCAAACCTTGCCTAAATAGCTGGTCATATTGATGGGGTCAGATTTATATTGGAAGCTGGTCTACAAACCTTGCCTAAGAAGCTGGTCAGATTGGGTCATAATGGTCTACAAACTCGCATAAAACAGAATGAATATTCCTGGTCTACAAACCTTGCCAAAACTTAAATGGGATCCAGATTAATGGGGATCTCCCTAAGAAGTTGCTATTGTCTTAGCCTTGTTGAGGACCACTTCATAGCATCCTCCTTTGTGACCCTGTGTTGGATCCCAATATGAGATTTACACCTACGACGGCGAGCAACGCGATATCTCGGTCGTTCGTGAATGACATAAAAGTCCATACCATAAATACCGATTGAAGGATCATAGTTGATACCCAAATCGATATGCTCCTGAATACTGAAACTGAAGCATCCAGTATCACTGAAGTTCCTCCTCAAGAGCTCATATTCCTTGACCTTCAACCCACTCTCCAGAAGTTGCTTCGCCTTCTCACCCCTGAGTGTGGCGTAGCACGTAATCTTCTCATTACATCTTATACTTATACCAAAAGACCAAACGATAGACCTAGCTTTTAAGAAAATGGGGGTTTGCCCACTCAGCTGTTCCAACACCTTCGCGACTCTAGTGAGACAATCTCCACTTTTACCAACGGAGATGTTGAGGACTAATTTTTGAACTTTGATCTCCCGCATTGGGTTCGAGAGCTTCTTCTCTGAAGCCATTGCTCTCCGCAGTCGAGGTTACAGAGGCAACCAAATAGGTTGATCGTTTACGGAGAGAAGTGGTGGGATAGAAGAAACCCTCGCCATATTCAACTTCACCTTATTAGCTCTCAGGTGAGTAGGGGGAGGGTGACGTTTAACAGTGAAGACGTTAACGTCTTTCTTATATTTAAATGATTTTCTTTTTTGAAATGTGATTTTAATTGTTGTTTTTGAAACCGGTTACCTGTGATAACCGTATTAACCGAAACAGAAAGTCCAATGTTGATTGGTCCATCTCATCCGATATGATATGGAAAAGATTCTTTTTCCATATCATAGATTTTCCCTTTCTAATTTTCAACATGAAGTAATGTTTATTAAATAAATGGCAATAGAATCAAGGGAAAAGTACTCTCTAGTTCACTGCAGAATTCTGAATTACAGCCCCCCATAGTCTATTAGTAGCCCCCCTATAAACCGCATCTTTCCCAGGAATTTGGCATCAATCCATGGTCGGGATTCATCCCCTGTACGGTGGGGCTAAAGAATTTGGAGCTTGGCTGATCAGTCATTCTCCCTAGAATCAAATGGCCCTGTAATAAAAAGCATATGATTCATTACCATTTCTATGATATCAGTTGACTAGTTATAACTTATAAGTTATTATGGTATCATAGTCAAACCATATATAAAAGGGGTTAATCAAGGATTCAAACATACTCAAACCATATACACATATAGTAAAATGGGTTAAGCAAGGATTCAAACTCTTCCCAAGTTGTGACCCATTATAGGTGTTTTCACCATTAACCTACCATACCATTTTTGTTTAGAGTGACATTAGATTTCACTTATGTGATGACGAATACGGATTTGGAACAAGACGGGTTTAATGGGTTTGGAGTGGGACAGGTTTGGGAATTGAAGGAAGCCTAGCTGTCAAAAAACATTAAAAAAATGTTACAGAACCAAACAACCTCTTAATAAAAAAGCATATGATTTTTTACCACTTTTAGGATACTAGTTTTTTTTTTTTTTTGGGTGCCATGATACCAGTTGATTGGTTGTAACTTATAAGTTATTAGGGTATATGCTCATAGTATAAGTGGTTAAGAAAGGATTCAAATACTTCCCCTTGTGACTCATTAAAGGTGATTTCACCATTTACCATAGGTTGCATTTGTTTTTAAGTGTAATGTTTTCATGACGTAAAAGTACATCCATTGAAAAGTGGATCGGTCGGTTTAAATATAATGAATTGGTAAAGTGAAAAAGGTGTAGTCAGTGTACGTAGAATATTACATCGATAAAATCAATGTAGTCTTTATAAAACTTCATTGTGAGTGGAGTTTACATTGATTTTCTATGTAAAACTTACATTGAAAACAAACCTAAATAAATTTGAACCAGGGTGTAAAATTTACTCTGGTTCTCATTTACACCAAAAACAAACGCAGCCATATCATTTTTTTGAGCAATATTACATTTTTCTTATATGATAATGGACTTGGGTAGGATGGGTTGAATGGGTTTGCAGTGGGACAGGCTTGGGAATTCTTGACAATAAATCCCACTAAAAATAAGAGAGAAAGAGAAGAGAAGAAGAAGAGAAGAGATTGGCGACAATGGAATAGTGTTGGCGGCGCTAGCTTCTATTAGTATTTATAGGGTGTCTAAAACAAAAGGGAAAAGACCCTTATGCCCCTGTTGTAAGTGAAGTACAATAATAGAAAATAAAAGACTTTAAAATAACCAAACAGATCCTAACAAGACATAAAATAAACTATTTCAGCACTCCCCCTCAAGTTGGAGCATAGATGTCAATCATTCCCAACTTGTCACACAAATCATTATGCCGCACATGTTGAAGACCCTTGGTGAAGATGTCTGCAAGTTGTTCCTCTGAGCTGACATATGGAGTACATACTTCTCCACTCACAAGTTTTTCTCTAATAAAATGCTTATCCACTTCAATGTGTTTCATCTTATCATGGAGGACTGGATTAGCAACAATGTTGATAGCAACTTTATTGCCATAATATAATGGCATGGGGTTGTTGAATGCAAAACCCAATTCACTTACTCCTCAAGGTGGCCAAGTTACCTCCTACAAAGGTAAAATACCCACTGGTAGACTTTCGGTCATTGACCGCCCCTGCCTAATCAGCATCAATATATACTTCCACCTTTAAATGTCCATGTTTCTAGAACAACAAACCAGCTCCTAGAAATTTATTGAGGTATCTAAGGATTCTCTCTCCGGTTTCAAAGTGAGTTGCCCTAGGGTTGTGCATGAACTGACTAAGGACACCCATTGTATAAGCAATACCAAGTCTGGTCATAGACAAATATAAGAGTCTCTTTACAAGTCTTTGAAACTTCTTAACATCTTTCAAGAACTCCCCCTGACTGTCTCTCCCAACTGATGGTTAGGTTCAATTGGCGAGTCACTTGGTTTCACCCCTAGCTTGCTTGTATCTTCTAGTAGATTCAATACGTATTCCATTGGGAAATAAAGATGCCCTTTTGAGAGTGGGCAATTTCAATTCCAAGGAAATAACGTAAGGGTCTTAGATCTTTCACCTCTAATTGAGTGGCTAAGAACTTTTTTAGTTTCTGTATTTCGGTCTCCTAGTCTCCTGTGATCACGATGTCATCCACATACACAATTAAAGTTGTAATTTTCCTTTCACCTTTCTTCACAAATAGAGTGTGGTCTGACTGACATTATTGGAACCCCATTTGTTGAATTGCTAAGAGGAACTTACTAAACCAGGTTCGAGGTGATTGTTTTAACCCATATAAAGATTTTTTTTAACCTACACACTTTCTTTTCATTGCCTTTGGCACAAAAACCTAGAGGTTGGGTCATGTACACTTCCTCTTCTAAGTCACCATTCAAGAAAGCATTCTTGATGTCCAATTGATGAAGTTCCCGGTCAAGATTTGCTGCCAATGAGAGAAGAATTTTGATAGAGTTCATTTTGGCTACTGGAGCAAATGTCTCTGCATAGTCTACTCCATATACCTATGTGAAACCTTTTGCCACCGGTCTGGCCTTTATACTTTTCAACAGTTCCATAAGCCTTATGCTTCATTGTGAACACCAACTTGCATTCCACTGGTTCCTTCCCTTCAGGAAGATACACCAACTCCTGAGTGCCATTTTTTGTGCAATGCATCAATTTTTTCCTTCATTGCATCTGTCCATTTAGGCTTGGATAAAGCTTCTACCACATTCTTAGAAATAGGGATACTGTCAATAGAAGAGAGGAAAGCACGATATGAAGGTGAAATATGGTCATAGGACACAAAATAAGAGATAGGTTGATTAGTGGTACAAGATATAACACCCTTTCTCTTAGCAATAGGAACATCAAGATCATTAATGACAAGGGAATCAACATTGCAAGGTTTAAGCGTATCAATAGAAATAAGTGTACCTAGCTAATGAGGTGGATTTGCCTCCGAAGAATCCAATGATGTTGGTTGCATAGTGTCAAGTTCCACGACTCTAAAACTTTGTTGGATTTTGTGGCAGCAAAGAAAGACATGGAATGGAGGAGGATCAGGAAGAGAAGGTAGTTGAGTCTAAGCTTGGGTGTGTTTTTCCTCAACCCTACTCTCCCCTTGAGGAGAAATCGAGAAGAAATGTTGATTCTCAAAGAAGGATACGTCTACGGAGACATAGTACTTGCGAGAGGTGGGATCATAGCAATGATACCCCTTTTGAGATAAAGGGTAACCAAGGAAAATACAAGGAATAACATGAGCATCAAGTTTACCCCAAGTAGGGGACAAGCTATGAACAAAACAACGACACCCAAAAACACACATTAGAATGGGGGATAACGAAGCTGTAGGGAAAAAAAGTTGATGTGGGGCCTTATACTCTAGTAACCGAGATGGCATATGGTTGATGATGTATGTAGCACATAGAACAACATCCATCCAAAAATGTTTCGGAACATTCATATGGAGTAATAAGACACGAGCTAATTCGAGAAGGTGACGGTTTTTTCTTTTGGCAACACTGTTTTGCTGGGGTGTCCTAGCACAAGAGCTTCGTTGAAGAGATCCACATGAAGCAAATATTCTGTGAGATCACTAAGGAAGTATTCTTTTGCATTATCCGACTGGAAAATATGAATTTCAGTTTGGAATTGAGTGAACACCATGCATTGAAAGTCTTTCACAATTTTGGACACTTAATCTCTAGATCGCATAGGGTAAACCCAAGTATATCTAGAGTAATCATCGATCAAAGTAATGAACTACTTATATCCAGCCTTAGTAGGTAAAGTAACAGGGCCCCAAACATCAGAATAGACAATATGAAATGGAAATTCAGATATTTTATTTCTTAAAGGAAAAGAACTTCTATAATGTTTACTCAATTGACATGTCTGACAATGCAACTGACTAACTAGCAATGACTTAAACAACTCTGGAAACATAACTTTTAATGACTCAAAAGAAAGATGACCAAGACGACTATGCCATAAATAGGCTTAGCTCTCAATAGAAAAACTCAAGGACTCTGTAGCCATAAGACCAGATTTATTCTCCAACATGTAGATACCATCCACCACATGTCCTCTACCAATCATCTTCCCCGAGGCTAAATCTTGAAACACACATGAAGACGAAAAAAAAGTTACTGAACAGTTCAAAGAGTGAGTAATATTGTTAATGCAGAGTAAATTTATAGGCAATTTAGGAATATGCAATACATTAGAGAGGAGGGTAAGGTTGAGTGGGAGAGATATGGTTCCTTGGCCGGCTATGGTGGAGAATGAACCATCAGCCAATCTCACCTTATCTCTCCTAGAGAGAAGGTTGTATGCCTGAAATAAATTTGATTTACCGGTCATGTGGTTTGAGGCTCTAGAGTCAATTATCCAAGGGGAATCAGATGTATGAGATGACACATGGAAGGCAGTGGTAGTGTTACCTGATGTAGACGCAAAAGAGGTATAAGGAGTAGGACCAAAATCCATCTGGCGAAGAGTTATACCATAT